TTTGTCTGTGAAGCAAAACCAGGATAGAAAGGTCATTCTACAGAAGACATGGAAACTGCAAAGGATCTTGGGTTAAACCAAGCAGGAAACAGAGCAGTTTCAATCTCACATTGAGCCAGGAGTTGAATCTGTGAATTGGTCCACATGGTTTCACACCCCCCACACACACACACAGGATTGGTCTGCCTTTCTCTTCCCATGATGCCAACTCTTAGCATCATCCTTTCCTCCCATAACCATTCCTGAAGATCTACAGACCTTCCCCACATCCCTGTCCTCTCTGACATGGCTTATGAAGCTGCATGAAGGTGCTACGTGCTCACCTGAGCTCTGCCCTCCACCACCTTCAGCACTCTGAGACTCACTTGCAGACACAATGGGACCTGTGATCCCAAGAACCACTAATAGGTTGTGAAACTCCATGGATGGGGGCCAGGGCAGCTCTGCCCCTGAAAAGGTGGTGACTGTTGTGTGCTGTTAACTGGCCAGCAGGGAGGGGTCTCTGAAGCATATATGGACCCTGGTCCATGACTGGCTGTAGCCAAACATCTGTTCCCAGAGTGCCTAGATCTGCAGTGATCCCATCTCTCTCTCTGCCTTCTGTGAATATTGGATATGGAAGCAATTATCTTAGGTTGCAGTAATTAGTTTTATATAACTAGAACTGGGGACTTGTGAATCAATGCCATACCCATTTCTCTCCCTCTCCCTCTTTCCCTTTTAACAGATCTGGACAATGTTGAATCCTTGGTGGGGAGATCAGCACAATTTTTTAAGAGTTGACAGCCACCCCTGCACGCTGCAGTGTAGAACTAATGAAGACACAAGTGTAAGGAAGTTTCTAATTGAATCCAGCATGGAGCAAGCAGAGCTGAACACAGAGCACTCCCAGCTGAAATCCCACGTGTTGGCTTCTAACCCTCCTGGACGGCCGGCACAAGAAAAATATTTCTGGGCTGTGTCTCAGGCAGCCTGTTCTATCCGAGTGGCCAAAAGAGAACAAGCATGGCCTGTCTCCTGGGTAGAGGCACTGGGTTATCAGGGATCCAAGATCGCCTTTGATAAAGCTCTTGTTGCGTTGACTAAAAGGCAGGCATAGGAGAGAAAAGAAAGAACCCCGAGAAACAGAGGCATTTGGGCAGGGGCTGTCTGCTCCAGTTCATGTCTTTTGCCAGTTTGTGTGTGACCGTTCCAGTTGGCTGGAAGTGGACAGCCTCCTCCATCAGTCTGGGCAAGCTCCATCAACCCCCTGCTCGGTCTTGCACATCCCTCAATATGCAGACTCCCATGCAAGGCAGAGTGGGATCACATCTTCCTTTCAGAATTCCTGGTTGGTGACTCATAGCATGGTTATCCAACTGCTCTGTCTCCTGGGGCCATCCCTGGGGACGATCCCCCACCACCATTACCATGTTTGGACCTTGCCGCTGTGTGACTTCCTGGCTGGGGGGGGGGGTGGAAATTGCTGAGTGGCCCGCAAGAGATCTGAACCTGAGATGACCAAAGGAATCCTGGGTATGTGCACCACTGGGCCCCTTGAGCCAGCTGCTGCTGGAGCTGTTGAGTGCAGGCTGGCTTGACTCGGATCCCCTTGGGTCATTTCCACAGCATGTCACATGCCTTGTGCTTCCTGTGTCACCAAACAATGCTGTTTAGTGGTTAAGGGTCTCCTCTGGCACGCCAAGACTGCGGACACTTCCTTCCAAATCCCAGGTCCTGTGTTCACTTGTGGAGACCCTGGCAGATTTGCACAGTGACCCTGACTCCTCATGCCCCATCCCTTTGGTTACAGGCATGCAGCCACATTGCTGCTTGATGTGTGGGGAGGGCTCTACCCATAGGAGGTGGTGGCACAGCTCAGAGAATGGGGCCATGCGTGCAGCCTAGCTCTGCCCTCCGCACCAGAGCTGCAGGGAAGTCCCGGGGTGTCTGCAGAGCAGGTGGCCTCTGTCTGAACACCCAGCTCTGTCAGCTGTTGAGAGCCCTAGTTGGAAGAAGCATTCCAGGGACATTCCTTCTGTCTGGAGCAGGGACTTGGCTTGAACCTTGAACAAAAAAAAAAAAAATCAGAACAAGCTGCACCAGTTTGCTCCACCTCAAAACAAATGCTTTTCCCCCCTTGGTCGCACTGAGAACAAAACCCGAGTTCTGGAGTTGGTGTGCTTTGTTTTCCCACCGGGGAGCAGTCAGGAAACAAGACTAAACTGGTTCTTCTGATGGACTGAAGGGGAGGTTGGTACTAGAAGGCATGGCGAGGTCTGTGGAGATTGTGTGAGGGTGTCTGCAGGCTGGAGAAGCTGAGGAGGCGGTTAGTATTGGCAGCCTGTGTGGGGGAAGAAATGTATGGAGTTTGAAGCCCCCTGGCAGCCACAGGAAAGGGTGTAGAAGCCCCCAGAGGAAACTGGTCCACCACATACCCTTCTTTTGAAGAAAGTAGTTGCTCCAGTGTCACATGACCCTCCCACCCTGGCATGCACAATGCTACCTAAGAAAGCACCTTCCCACAATGCCGCTCCGACTGGAGGGACTTTTCCCACTCTGTGTATTCATTTCTTTCCCGTCACTGTGGTCTTTCTGTCTGCTTAGGAGCCGCACCTGAATCTACTGATATTTTAACTACTGTCTTCTCCTCGTGGCCTGAAGTCAGCACCTGGCTTAGCCAGACCTGTTGGCACCAGCTGGCCAACAAATGTTGTCTTTATCTAAGTTGTTCTCTGGAGTCAGAGGTAGGGGTGAAACCTGCTAGACCTGAGAAGCTGAGATGCAGCCAGCTCCCCTTCCTTTCCAGCCAAAGATGAGGCAGGGAAAGTGTCTCTACTTATCCCAAGCCAGAGACCTTGAAACTCTAAGTCCCCCCCCCTCCTTCCTGCGGCTCTCTATCCGTATTGCTGGGTGCTCCATGTTCTCTATGGCTCATTTCTGTCTACTAGTCACTGGCTCCACCCACTGATCCAAGGTTAATTTTATTAACACAGCCTCAGACTTTCACTGCACAGTCGAATATCCCAAAACACACTGATAAGAAACACCCGGTAGGGGCTGGAGGGATAGCTCAGTCATTAAAGGCTAGGCTCATAACCTACCAGCCATGTCCCACCTTCTAAACGTCCCACAGTCTTCAAAGTGGCACTCCAAGCCAAGCAAGCAAGGTACATTACTCTCTGAGAGGATGCTCCCTAGAGATACTGTCAGATTCTTCTAGAAGTTTGAGTCTGGAGACTGTGACTGAATTTGTTTCCTGACCTCCTTCACTCACTCCCTCTGCATACCCCAGGTAACCTGGGATCTGAACCAGTCCATCCAACACACAATGACAGCTGAGGTTGCCATAGGAACACACGTTTGCTTCCTGTCACATTTCATCCAAAGCCAGTCCACATAAAGTGCTTCCTGGCTCTGTTACCCTGTACAGGTTGCTTAACCTCTCTGAATCCTGATACCTCTCTGCATCAAATGAAGCTAATGCTATCCTTTCAGAAGGGTCCACGGGAATGAATTGCTATTGTACCTCAATACTCATGACCTCACCTGGCCCAGGGGCCCTTTCCTTCACCTGAAGATAGCAACTGCATGATGGGTAGGAGGGATCTAGTGTCATAAGACATATTTGGCTGAGTCCATTCGGGTTCTGTAAAAAGGTTAAATTTAGTTCAGATGTAAATTTAGCAAATAAGTATGGTTTGGGGTCTTATCCCACTCCCTCTTTCTGTTTATGGCTTGGTTCAGTCTCTGTCTCCCAAAGCAATCATCCACACAACACTAATTAAGACATCAGTGGAGCTCCCAAAGGTGAAATTCCAAACCCAGATGCCTGCCAAAGTGTACTAGAACTTATCACACGTCTTTTTTTTACATGCTTGGTACATGTACAGCACTGAACCTTCATGGCAGTGGGCAGCCTGATCATGGAGAGCTCTGACAGTGGCCTTCCCAGTGTCATGCCACTAACTCTGAGCCTCTCCACAATTTCTTTGTTCCTAAGGAGAAAAAAAAAAACACCCTGATTTAATCATGTTTGCTACGAGGAAAAGGCTTAGGAAAAACAAAGTTGAGGTAGAACATGTAATTCCTCTGATGGATGCACCTGCCGTGGTCTTCTGAAGGCTGAATCTGTCTCTTCAGGTCAGACCCTGGGTCTCAGCTCCTCACTCTATCTTTGTCTGTTCCTGGGGCCACCGTCCTTCCTAACAGTTCTGCTAAGAAGCCTCCTCTGAAGCTCATGTTCTATACCCGCTTCTCCTCCCACATACTTCCCAGGATGGCCTGGGCCAAGCTGATGCAGACTGGGGTGTGAAGGGGAAAGGAGAAAGGGCATAGTTGATGGGGAAGTCCTGTGCATATGTTAATAAAGCACTGTTGGCCAATAGGGAAGCAAGATAGGTGGGACTAGGAGAAGAGGAGGACTCTGGGTAGGAGAAACACAGGGGGTCACGATGTAGCCCGCCAGGGAAGTAAGATGTCGGGAACTTTTCTCCAGTAAGAGAAATACTTAGATTAACAATTATGGGGTAAATACTTACGTCAGAGCTAGCCAGTAAGAAACAAGCAAGGCCAACAGCTTCATAATTAATACAGAGTCTTGTGTGTTATTTGGGAACTACAACACAGCAGAGCCCAGGCGACCGGTGGGGAAAAACCAAAGCGACTAGCAAGGAAAAGGCTTCTCTCTACACATAGTTACAGATGAGACATGATGGATGAGAGCAAGTGAGGCATAGGATACAAAGAGATGTTGTAGTGAGGTATCCACCCCGCCCGCATCTGCAGTGCTGACTATGCCTATTTGGGTGTGGTCACAGGTTCGGATGTGATGGAGAGTGGTTTTAGGTCTGGGGTCAGGGGACAGGCTGCTCTCTCTTGCTTCAGTCGGGGTGGATCCCTGGAGTGGGGACTTGCGGTGGTCGTCGGCTTCTTGTGTAAGTGACTTCTCCCCGAATAAAATTATATTAACCTACACTGAGCCTAGTTCCGTGGATCTTGTTCTGTGTATCCATATCTGGCACCCGACGTAGGACTTGAACCCACAACCCTGAGATTAAGAGTCTCATGCTCTACCCAATTGAGCTAGCCAGACTGTTACTTGAACCTGCGGCACCTCCAGGCTCGCATCTGAGAGCTTTGCCCTCAGCTCTTCAAGATTGCCTGGGAAAGGTGAAGTCTGGTTGACAGAGGTGTGTCAGTAGATGGTTAGCCTCTGAAGGTCAGACCTGCTTCTCTGCTTCCCTGGTTTGCTTAGCTCTGCTTCCTGGCCAGTTGACATTTTAGCAAGCCTCTGTTGCATGTGTCTGCCACTGGGGACAGAGCACCTCTGTTCTGCCATCCCATCATGGTGGGCTAAAAGCTTTCTCAAACTGTGAGTCCGAATGCTATATCTTCCCTTCAGTTGTCTCTGCCTGGTATTTTGTCACCTTCATGAGAAAGATAACTACTCTGTATTTAGAGGCTTCAGGGGATTCTGGGATGTTTTGTAACAAATCTTCATAACAAAATGATGCATGGTGCCTATTCCATAAGAATCAGGTACTTGAGAGGTTGCAGGATATGTGTGTTTATAAGTTTGAGATATCTTATTGAAAAGTTTTATTTTGGAAGGACTTTGGGAAGAGAAAGAGGTTGAACTTAAAAAAAAACTGTGTCATGTCTTTGCTAGCACCGGCAGTTTGCTCTGCATCATGGGAATATTGAAACATGCCCTCGATTTGGGTGGCTGAATGACTGAGTACACCACCGAAATAAAAGTTGAAATCACCTCCTCCCATAAGCAACTTACACATTTAACCCATGGGCATATTACCACAGGTGAAACCCAGCTGCCTGCCAGAGCATTCTGGAATGTAAAGTGTTAGACCCTAGTCAACGTTTCAGGACACTTGCTCTTCTGTGGGGGTGACAGTTTCTATTGATTCCTTCCAGCTTACTTCTCAAGATTGTCCCCAGTGGAGAAGAATGTTTGTGTAGTTGCTGCCCACATGCCGACTCTCCTTTGCGATCCATAGACAATGTAAAGCTTGTTGGATTGTCACCCAGGTTCTAGAACAATGCCATGTCATGAGTGGCCCTTCACACTCAGCCTGGTTTGTGGGGGCCATGTGAGTGTTCTCAGACCCTGATGTCAGGGTCTTCCATGGACTTCTGGTGATGGTCTGTGGGCACCGGGGTGGGGCAGGGTAGTGAGTTCATGTCCAGTGGCACAGGGAAGCTCTAATTTATATCCAAGGTAGTCAAGGATGAAGGGAGCACTATTTATGGAGCCTTGAACCCCTTCATTATGAGACAGCGCCATTCAGATGTCTTTTTTGGGTGTGTGTTGAGGTATGTAATTAGCCTGCCTTTGGCTTTGAGCTTTCAGAACATGGAGAGGCTCACACACGAGGATCTCACACATCTAGCTGCCCTGTCCAATTCCAGGAAAAGTGATAGGGTGACCTTAGCTAGTCTTCCCATACTTGACTCAGACAAAATCAAGGGGCCTGAGTTCAGGTGAATGAAACTCAGAAGGCAGGGATAAACATCTCAGAAGGACTGCCTTTTTAGTCTTCTCTGAGTGGTGATATACCTACACCAAATGTTACTGAGTAAATGGAAGAGTTCTCTGTGGTTAAAGCTGCAATAGTCAGAACAACAAAACAAAGACAGTCAATGCTGTATGGCTCACAGTACAGAAGGGACATTCACAAGTCCACACAGATGCAAATAAATGATCAATAAATTAATACATGGAAAGAAGAGGCCAATATCCTAAAGAGAAATATTCCAAGAAGAATTCCTGTAGCTACCTACTTTAAAAAGTATGAAACGTAACTCCCTGTTCCTCAGATGTAAGTTACAGGGTTAGGTGACTTCATTGTGGTGTGAATGTCAGATTGCATGCTTGTAAAAAAAAACGTAGGTGGTCTAGCCTACAACAGACAATATGCCCAGACTACCAAGTATACACCATTGTATGGGTAGGTTGTTGACTGAATGCCATTGTGTGACATGTGACACCATTCGAGACAAACCTTTCCACACATTCTTGAATGAATTCACATATTTCCATATTTCCTCAGATGCTTCACACAGACTCTAGAACATCAACTTTCACAACCTTTTTGGGAGCCTCTATACGAGGAAGCTCCTGGCCATGAGTCTTCTTTAGGTTGGGGTCACTTGAAATGCATGGTGCCCAGGACCACAGGGTACTGTATAGTTATGCTGTCTGAAGTGGTGGCCCTATGTTGTCACTGAGAACTTGGTGCTGAAAGCAGAGAAAACACACCATGTGTGAGAGCCTTAGTGTTAGTCCCTGCTAGTCCTTTTTTGCTGATAGTGTTGATTGGATACTGGGTTAAATAGATTATCAAACTTAAGTCTTCCTACTTATTTTTCTTCTTTCTTCTCTTCTTTCTTCTCCTCTCACTTTTTGGGTTTATTGAGACAGGGTCTTTTGTATCCTGGGATGGCCTCAAACTCATTATATAGCTGAGGATAACAGGTTCCTGAGCCACATTGCCTAGTTTATGTGGTGCTGGAAACCAACCCCAGGCTTTGAGGATGCAAGAGCACATATGTCTTTCTATTACAAACTATGGCTAAGGGGTGAGGTTATAGGCCAGTAATAGAATGATTGCCCAGTATGTCTGAAGCCCTAGGTTCAATTACAAATACTATAAAAACAAAGCAAACGATGTGGGATGCAATGAAAGCAGTCCTGAAAGATAATTTTATTGCTACATTAAAATAATCAGAAAGCTGTCAAATAACTTGACAGTGTAACTTAGAGTCTTGTAATAAAGTGAGCAAGTCAAACTAAAAGTCAGTGAATGCAGTCAATGCAGGGCAAGAATTAATGAAATGACAACTAAAAACAATACAAAGAATCAATGAAACAAAGAGTTGGTTCTTTGACACAATAAGCAAAATTGACAAAAAACTTTAGTGAAATGAACCAAAAGAAAGTGAAGACCCAAATTAATAAAATTAGAGGTGAAAAATGAGCCATCACAAGGGATATCTATGAAATTCAGGAAGTCATTAGGATTGCTTTGTAACTAAAAGTAGATGAAGACACAAGAAATTATAGATCGATATCTTTGATAAGCATAGGTGCAAATTTTCTCAATAAAATACTTGCAAGTCAAATTTAAGGACACATCAGAAAGATCATTTACTGGATCAAATTAGCTTCATTAAGAGATGCATGGATGGTTCAAAATATGCAAATCAAGAAATGTAATACAGTCCAGACAGTGGTAGCAAACACCTTTAATCCCAGCACTTCAGAGGCAAATGTAGACAGATCTCTTTGAGTTCAAGGATAGCTGGTCTACAGAGTGAGTTCCAGGACAGTCAGGATTACACAGAGACCCTGTCTCAAAAAAACAAACAAGCACCAAAAAAGAAATGTAATATCTCACATAAAATAAATAAAAGATAGAATCACATGATTATTTCAGTAGCTTTTGACACAATCCAACATTACTCAGAATAAAAGCCCTTAAGAGACTATGAATAGAAGGGACATAATAAAGTCTATATAGGACAAACCTGTAGCCAACATCACACCAATAGAAACAAAGCATTTCCATTAAGGTCAAGAAGCTGAAGTATCCACTTTCTCCAGTATTCACTATGGCATTCGCAACCTTAGCTGGAGTAGTAAGACAAGAGAAGAAAGTAAAAGGGATACAAATAGGAAAGGAGCACACACACGTGTATGCAGTGGACAGAGAACAGCCTTGAGCTGAGAGAGACCCTTTCATTGGCCTGGAACTTACCAACTAGGGTGGGCTGCTTGACCAGCAAGCCCCAGGGATCTGTCTGTCTCTGCCTCCCCAGTGCTGGATAACAAGGGTGTCACCATACTCTCCCTGCTCCCTTTTTTAAAAAGAAGGATTCTGGAGATCAAACACAAATTCCCATGCTTGCAAGGCAAACATTTTATCAACTGATCTGTCTCTTTAACCCATCCCAGAAAATTCTTAGATTTGATAAGCACCTTGAGCAAAGTGGCAGGGTACAAATTAACACAACAAATCAGTAGCTTTCTTACATACAAATAATAAACATGCTGAGAAAGAAATCATGGAGACAACCTATTCACAATCCCTTAGAATAAACCTAGTGGAGCAAGTATAATATCTCTGCAATGAACACACCACAACACTGAGGAGAGAAACAGGAGATCTTCAATCAGAAGATAGGAAGCCTTCTACACTCATGGATGGGATGGTGAGAACATCTATCCTACTGGAAGCAGTCTGCAGATTCACTCCCCACCTAAATCCCAATGCCATTCTTAAAAAGAAGGGGAAGGATAAAAGAGGAGAGTGTAGGGTGTGGATGGGGCAGTATGAGCATACAATGTATATAGCATGTGAGAACATCTTCTTGCAACTCAGTGCTAGGTCCCATGACTATAGACAATGAAAGAATTTTAAATACATATGGCTACAGGACTCTTGAGATTATAGTCATCTATATCAGGATCCCTGGAGAATTGGCTTCAGGACTCCAGCAGATAGTAAAAATCCATGTTCACTTGAGTCCTTTATATAAAATGGCACTCTGTGTAACTCCTGCACACCTTCCTGTATACTTTGTCATCTCTAGATTACATAGTCGGAGTGATCTGTGAATGCAATTTCAATAGTTGCTGTGCCATACGGTTTAAGGAAGAATGACATCAAAATCCATATACATTTGGTATGTAAAAAATACTTTCCTTCTGAGCTTGATGGAGTTCACATATGTGGAGTATGTAAAGTGGAGAGACAAACAAGGCTGCTCTCTAGGAAAGTGATGTGGGTGAGCATACAGTTTGGGAAATGCTTCATAATGACCCCTTCCTGGAGAGCAGTAAGACTCAGGAACAACACTGTATCTGAGCTCTGAAGGAAAGGAGTCTGTCCGTGCAAGCCCTGGATGTGACCTGGATGGGGAGGACGAACTGGTACCTCTCATCACTTGGTCCTGCGTGCTGTCTGGTGCCCTGGACAAACTGTTGCAATCCTCAGAGAAGCTTTCTCTCACCTTGCTCATAGTCACCATCTCCTGCCAGGCGATCTCGGTCATACCATAATGAAAGCCACAGCT